TGCCGAGCTCATCATACCCTCCCTGCAAGTCAGGATGTACTGGAGATGTGTAATTGATTGCAGGTAACCTGCAGGGACACACAACTGCTTTGCAGTAATCTAGGACTCAGTAAGCAACACGAAAAGGTTATTGATGCACTTGGGGAGTGTTTCTGTACAACATGTGCTCCTGTACCTCCTGATATCCGAGGCAGGGAAGCAGATCCCTTAACATTTACAAGAAGCAAGCAATTTCTATTACAGAAAGAGAGAGAATCGTCTTCCCAGCAAGGAGCCTGGGTGAGGGCTCGCTGAAGTCAGTGGGAATGGGCCATTTACAAAGAAATCCTTTGCCTTCAAGTGGAATTGAGAAGTGGATGGAGATGGGGAGGTCTCACAGAGCCTGAGCGTGCTCCTTGTGGGTAAAACAGCATTAATGTCACTGAGGATCACTGGTGTTCAAAGTGGAAAGGGTTAAGTGGTCACAACTGAGCTCTCCAACGCCAAACACCTTGTCCTGCTCACTCAGCCAACAGGATTCCCTGTGTGGTCCAGGGAATTTTGTGCTTCAGGAATCATTCCCGGTGGAAAGCACAGAGGTTTATCTCTAGTTCTTTTCTTTATCGCGTGTGGAACATCTTCTCTATGGCATGGCTCCTTATAGTGAAGTTTGCATCAATAGGATATCTGATGGGAGCCTCATTTCCCCCAGCTCTCCATGAAAACCTCAGACAGTGACCTGGCACCTTCAGTTCTCCAGGGAATTGGATTCTGGGGCTTTGCTTTGGGGTCCAGATTAGATTTTAAAGAGACAAAAGCCAGATCCCACTGACCGTTATTGCTCTCCTGGTTATTTCTGATGCACACACTGAACCTATCCCCTTCCTCAGAGCCAGATTTCCCAGCTATATCCATAACCACAGGGTGCAAGGAGCAGACAGCACCGGCTGTAAAACTCACTTTGCAGCAGTATCTTCCCTTTTCCTTACACTTTTCACTGGGTGTTTCACAGCACACCATGTCCCACACCTCGCTTATCCAGTTTTCCCTTTCTCCATGATGCTGACACATCCAATACATATCATGCTCTTAAAACTGAACTTTCATCAGCAAGTATTTAGCCACAAGAATGACAATGACCTATTGAAGTGGAGCAGGCTGGTATCCATTGCACAAGTGAGCTGTGATAAGTGATTGCAGTCCAAAGCCATCGATAGAGTCAAGCTTCACTAAGCTCAACTCAGGCCTCCTGCTTTTCCCTTTTTCCCCTTAGAATAATCAATAGTATCATACTTGTACTCCTCTGTGTTTGTCGGCCTGAAGAGCATATGGAGAAAGAAGCCAGCTCTGTATAACAGCACTAGAAAACATTGTGCCAGAAGACAGATTTCATGTGTTGAGGGGTTTGAAGCAATGAATTCTGTACAAAATATGATATCGAGGTGAAGATGAGTCGTTCCACTGCCATAACACAGGAGGGAGAGGGAGCCGGAGTGAGCAAAGCAGCAAAGGCATTCAGCAGCAATTTGCCCTCTGATGATTAGGCTTTTAGGCCAGAGGAGCTCTGCTACTTAAGCAGAGGATGCGACACATTTAGCTGTTGCTTAGAGATACTGGAATATATTGGCCAGAGCCTGCCCCTGGGTGAGCATCCCTGAAGGGTTCAGCGCTGCTTTCCCAGGGCTGTGTCACAGCCCTATTGCATCTGCGCTGTTTGCAAAGCCTCAGAGCTTTCAAAGCAGGTCAAGCAGTGACAGAAACGGGGGCTCTTGACAGGTCAGATGTCATTAATCAAAGTGACAACTCATAGTACCTGGAAGTGGCACAGACACAAAGGGCTTTAAGCAGCTGTATAATAAGCAGTTAATAGCACTTAAATAACATCTAGCTCCTGCATGGGATGCTGATGGGTTACAGCACTGGATTACACATGTATCCTAACACAGCCCTTGTCTGTCACCAACACAGTGGGGATAGGGACCCAGGAGAAAAGCAGAGCTCTACCTGCCGACTCACACCCCTTTCTCTTCCACCCCATTAGAGCGACTACCACCCTTGTATTTCTCTTTCACTCCAGTCCTTTTAAACTAGGATTCCTCCTCTGGAGCAAGGCTGTTTGAAGCCGGACCAAGAGGGAAATGAAGGTGTTTAAAGAAGCTGCTGTTTAAAGTGTTCCTTCTGCACTCTAGGTTTCGTGGATACATATAAATTGCAGTGAGAACGACAGCATGTCCTTGCTCTTACAGTCCCCAGGTAAAGTGCCAGGGCTCTGCTCATCAGCACACAGGCACTCCAACACCATGGGCCCCATGGGGCTGGGGATGTCCAGGGTCTCCAGAAGCTGCTGGGAATGAGCTGACCCATCGCAGGAGCTTCCCAACCTCCTTCCTGGCTTGCAGGAAGGGAACAAACAGCTCCAGCTGCCCACCATCACCCCCCCGCCCCGTGCTACAGCTTTCATTCCCCATCACCTCTGGTCTGAGGAAATTACACAGCATTTGCCTTGATTGCTCCCCTGCAGAGGCAGAGATGGGGCAGTCATTGATGCGTCCCTTGCCTGACAAAAACACGCCAGTTATAAGTGAGACTCAGGACTCCGATTTTCTTTCGAGCACTCCCGGTACCACTTTGCCTTCCCTGCAGCCTGTCAGCCGTGTCCCGGCTGCTGCATCCACTGCAGTGACTATCACCATCCAAAGGCACTGTCCCCAACGAGGTGCAAGGGGCTGCTGCAGCTTAGAGTGCCAGGCAGCCCTGATGCCGCCCCAAGCACTGCCAGCACCACAGTTATCCGTAGCTCCAGGATGATGGATGGCCTTTGTCTGGAGGCAGCAGCCCATCAGCTTTATGAAGGCAATAAAGCACCATTGATTCAGCATCACAAGGGATTTCCCTCCCTCACATACCACCTTTTCTCTCTGTTTGCACAGCTGACTCGAGCTGCATAGCGTGAACACGGGTTTCAAAAGGCAAAGTCCACCTCCGTGGGGTGGATTTGCCTGGAATAGAAACTGTCCCTCTTGTGCTGTGCTGGCAATGGAGCTGCTCACACAAGAATAAGTTCAAGTAGCCCAGAGGGAAAACACAGCTCATGTCCTTTGGAACAGCAGCTTCAAACTAGGGCTTGATTTTCCAGGGCTTTGTGCCACCGTCTATAATCAAGTGTAAAGGACACCAAGCCAGAGAAAACAAGATGAATAAAGCATCCCCTGCAGGCACTCTGTTTCTCATCATGCCACTGCACACAGTGTGACCGGGCATCAGCTCTGGTCCGACCCAGAACAGACACAAGGGGAAGATTTTCTCATCGCTGATGGACGTTCTGCTGCTGCAAAGGGATTTCACGGGTGGATTTAGTTCTGTTTGTAATTGTCCTCCCCAAAGCAGGTGAGTTTGACTGCGAAGCTGGCAAAGGAATGAGGCGCGAGAGCAGCTTAAAGCAGGCGCTGGGAAATTGTCTGGGGATAGAAAAGAAATCAAAGCCCCCCTGCTCACAGCGTCTCTGACAAGGTTGTTTTAATCAAGCACATCCTAGCCTATGGATAATGAGAAGGCAGCCAGGGAGGGATGTAGCCCCAGCTACATCCATATACATAGCCCACCCTGCAGCCCTCAGGTCCCATCTCCTTATAAGCATGTCCCTAAACACACAGCACCCAGGCACAGGGCCACAATTCCAATGTAACATCGCTTAGGGAGTGAAAGGACAGCTTTTAATCTCTCCCATGGACCCAAGAGACGTGCTTTACGCTGAAAACCAGAAAGCCACAAATGCAGCATGCTTTTACCCCCTTTTGCTGTGAGGAATAGTTTGAGCTCAGTGAATTCACCATCACGTTCTACTGAAGTTCTCCGTGTTCCAGTATTTTCTTCTCTTTGACAAAGACAACAGTGGCTGCTGGAAAGCTGCCTTCCCCCTGCAGATGTGTCATAACCTCACTTCCCTTACAGCTGCTTACAAGCTGTGCCAGCTCTCCCAAAACAGGCAAGAGGATGGTGAAGCAATATCATCACATCATCCCTATACATCTTCTTGGGCAATCTTTAAAGTCCATTGTATTTTGCTCAGGCATAAGCACTGGCTGAGACACAGAAAATACCTGCGAGAGTTGTACATGGGGCATAAAAAGCCTGCTGAAAACTCAGTTGTAACCATGGCCTTAAGGAGGTACCTCCCTGAGTGCAATGAAGTGTTTGGCTCCCACCCATTCACTGCCAGAACAGGGTAAACGCCTGCAGAAGAGGAGCAGAGTCAAGGGCAGCTCTTGGCTACAGGGCTCATGCAGAGGAGCCGACCTACTCGGTTGAATGCCCCATCAGACTGGTGGATGCATTTGCTCTGCCTGGTATAGAAACAACGCTCAGGCAAGCCGCAGGTGGGAAATGCATTTCAAAGACCACAAGAGGATCGAAAGACCTTTGTTTCCTTTCCCTCTTGCTACAGGGACACAAAGCTAAAGTGAGCTTCCCCTGTTGCTCGTTTTGTTCTATAACCTGGGGTCCAGCTTCACAGGACTCCTGCATCTCACGATGCGCATCCAAAGGATTCAGTTTCATTTCCAAAGCTGGACCAGGGACCCAGCTGGGAAAAAAAAACAGGCTAGCCCCCCCCAAGCAGCACAGATCTGGCAAGGTACAGCTGCTTATTTGTTCATTTTGAGCGCTGCAATGTTGTGTATCCTCCTCCCGCTCCCTCCCCCTGTACACATTTGCGCATCTCCCTTTGTTAAACCAGCCAGTGCTCCCTGTAGCAGCAGTTTAACCCCCCCCTCCCCTCCTCTTCCCACCCATCCACAGCTTGCCAGCCCTGGGTGCTGCTGTGCCCCTCAGCATCTCCCTCATTCCTGAGGAGCACAGCCCTGCAGCACCAGCTGCTCCCCAGCATCACCCGATTGACTATTTAAATAGCCCTGCAGAGAGAAAAACTTTTTCCCCCTCCCTTCCCTGCTGTGAACAAGTGCTGATTGCTCAGGCAGGCAGCGCACACGCAGAGCCACCGTCTCGATGTGATCACAGATCGGCAGCATCCCAAGGACCCTTCTCCAACTCGGAGCAGAGGGAAGAGGCTCAGCAGTGCCAAGCAGCGGGTACCGGAGGTGCGGGGGCAACGGGAGCCGCTCAGCAGGTAATGGGCTCTTCAACCCTCTCTTCCCAAGGCTTGTGGTCCTGCTCACTTCAGTGCCGTGTGACAACAGAACGCGAGAGGAGGGAGGCATCGCCCTTGGCAGAGCCTGGGGACCAGCTGCCAAATCTTCCATCTTCGCAGGGGGTTGGGTTGCTCCTTCACTTCCCTGCGGAGGAATCCTTGGAAGCGTGGGGCAGGCGATAGCGGTGGATGTGGTAGCTGCTACAGGTGGGGTAATGCTTGCTTTGACTTTAAAGCGGGTTTGCTTTCAGGGCATTTCTCCCCCCCCCTTCCCTAAATAATCCTGAACTTTTGGGATTTCCAGGTTTGTCCGCCCCATCTGTGCCATGTTCTATGTGCTGCCACAGCAATTTGCACAGTGGGGATGGACTTCATTTTGAATAAGATCATGACCATGTTGCTTAAAGAATTACTTAAACTACAGGTTAAGCCCCTTTAACCTTTAGCTTGGAAACACTCCTTGAACTCTATTTTTCCCCCCTCCTTCTTTTGCCAGGGGACGTTGGGAGCGTCAGGAACTTCACCGTGTGAAATCTCAGTCAATGCAAGGAGTGGGAACGCGACACAAAGGCACTAATTAAACACTGCAACGCTGCTGCTCCGGCATGGAAAAGCAAGCGCTGTGGAAGTGAAACAGCATCCGCCCTTTCAGACCTCCTGTGAATAGCAGACCAGGCACCAAGCTCCCTCCCTGACCTCCTTGTTCCTGCAGACCCAGGAGGACTCCTGCTGCAGACGGTTCCACTGGAGACGCTTGACTTCCCCAGCAAAGAAAAGCCAAAGCTCACCGGGATGCTCTCCAAGTTCCTTGACTGATGGCAGGAGTTATAATCCTCATTTCTTTCATTCATGGAGTGTGTTTCAATAGGGCTTTTTCCTCCTGACCACTTCAAGTTCTGACTTCTCCAATGGTGGGTGACAGCAGAGGTAAGTTGTATGGCCCATGCTGCCCCACAACCCACTCCTTGGAAGTCATCCACTTCTCAATGGAGTAGCAGCTGCTTCTCATGCAAGAAGAGGCTCTCTTCTGGGCTAGCGAGGCTTTTAATGACCACCCAGGGTGGTTTATGACCAGGAGGCATGGGAAACAACTCTCTTTGGGACGATCCGAACAGCACCTGCAGCAATGCAGGCAACAGCTGCTACCTGGACAACAGCATGAGCTTCAACTTAACCTTCCAAGAGCAGGCAGCCGATTTCTACGTTGTCCTCCCCGTGATTTACTCTGTGATCTGTGCTGTTGGGCTCACAGGCAACACTGCCGTCATCTACGTGATCCTCAAGGCCCCCAAGATGAAGACTGTGACAAACATGTTCATCCTGAACCTTGCTATAGCTGATGACTTGTTCACACTTGTCCTGCCCATTAATATTGCTGAACACCTCCTTCACTACTGGCCCTTTGGAGAAGTCCTCTGCAAGGTCATCTTGTCCATAGACCACTACAATATCTTCTCCAGCATTTACTTCCTGACAGTGATGAGCATAGACAGGTACCTGGTCGTCCTGGCTACAGTCAGGTCCAAAAGGATGCCACATCGCACGTACCGAGCGGCCAGGATTGTCAGTTTGTGCATCTGGATCCTAGTCACCATCATAGTTCTCCCTTTCATCATCTTTGCCAACGTCTACATAGATGACCTGGAGATCAAGAGTTGTGGTCTCAACTTCCCCAAGCCCGAAAGGTTCTGGTTCAAAGCCAGCAGGATCTATACCCTCATCCTTGGCTTTGCCATTCCAGTATCCACCATCTGCATCCTCTACACCATGATGCTCTACAAGCTAAGGAACATGCACTTGAACTCTAATGCTAAAGCCCTGGACAAAGCCAAGAAGAAAGTCACTATCATGGTCTTCATAGTCCTGGCCGTGTGTCTCTTCTGTTGGACCCCCTTCCACTTGGCCACCATTGTGGCTTTGACCACTGACTTGCCCCAGACCTCCATGGTCATTGGCATATCCTACTTCATCACCAGCCTAAGCTATGCCAACTCCTGCCTGAACCCATTCCTGTACGCTTTCCTGGATGACAGCTTCCGGAAGAGTTTCCGGAAGATGCTGGAATGCAGAACTTCCTGAACAACGGATTGAGGCCCAGATCCCCTCCCTCCCATGGCTTTGAAGGGCAGCTTTGCAGACTAAGGGGTGGTCAATGAACGCACAGTGTTCTTTCTTTCATTTACATGGAATGGATGTGTTTGTGTCATCCCCACTCACATGGTTTGTCCTGCTTACTTGCAGCTCTTGCCTTTTCCCTCTCTGTACCTCCCAATGTCTCAAAGCACCATTTCTACAGCGTTAGTTTTAATCTCACACTCTGAAGCGTTAAGGGCAGAAAAGGTCCTTTTCAGAGGCACATCTACTGCACTGTGGTCCTTTATTGCCATCTGCTGTACGGCACAGACAACTGGAGAAGGGTTCTCAGACTAATATCATGCTCAGTCCTTAACGGCTGTTGTGCAGAGGATTGCTCCATGGAGCAGAGCTAATGAGCACTTCCAATGGAACATCAATAAACCGGACAGAGGATGCCAGATGGGTATTTGGACAACAAACCATTTTCACATCCACGTACGTGCGTATGTGTGTTAGGGCTTTGATTTTGAGGGATGTCTGGTTTCCACCCCAAATTCCCTCATTCCTGAGCTGTTAACACGAGTGGAATTTAAACCAAAAGCAAGACTGGGGTCTTGTGTGTTAAACACCATAAAAATACTAGGGAATGTGTGTTAGAAATTATTTTTAACTCCTTGTTCCTGTTAAGTGTCAAATATCTATTTATTTAAGAGTGAATAATGAAATAAACCTCACAAGAAAAAGAGAGACTGGTTCTTATTTCACCAGAGAAAACTGATGCTGCGTGTCCCATGTCTTTGCTATGTATTACAGTCTACCCACTGTAAAATGCTATAGTCATAGAACAGTAACAAAATTAAGGTGTTTTGGAAGCCACAACTCCAGCAAGAACTGCAGTGACTGCTCCTTCTCTAACAGGTAAAGAGCAAAAGCACATCCACAGAACCAGGACCTGAAAGGAAGAATCACAAACACCGTACTGAAAGCTTCAAGGACCACTAGACCCATGGTGGCAGAGGTGAGCAGGGCTCATCGCACTGCAGGGTACATGTTACTGGTTTAAGGAAGGCTGTCTCAGCTAACACCTTTCTCTCCAGCTTCCCCCAGGTCCACAAGCACCAAACTGGGCTCTTTTTTGCCCAAATTTCACCAGGAAAACACAGAAATAAGTAAAACATGGGGCTACAGACAGGTCTAGACAGCAGCTGTATCACACATACCAAAGACAAGCTACCTGCAGCAGTCGTCCAAAGTCCATCCAGAAAACGGAGCTGGAGATAGGACCTGCAATATGAGGCCAAAATCCATGCAGGAGACAGTGCTAGAAGCAAGGGTCCCTCCAAGAGAGCTGGGTTGGAAGGTGCAGGGCTCATCTTAAATAGCCTCCTGGAGCAATGGGTGAGGGTGAGACACCAGGTGAGGCCTCTCAGGGCAATCAAAACCTACCAGTGCCCTCAGACACCAAACCTGACCTTCAACACAGCAGCATGGCGATGTGCTTCTTCCCCTTTGGGAAGCTGGAAGAGATTTGTGCATACACCATCACTTGTGCAGCCTTCCCCATATTGAAGGGGTTAACTTTGGAATCAAAATGAAGGAGGCATTCCTCCACATTGAAACTTGCCCAGGAATTTTTGATGCCAAATGTAACATTGCCTTGCTGTAATGATTGAGAGCTGGATCCCCAGTCTCAGCCAGCCTCATGGAGAGCAAACCACAGTGGTGGGACCTTAATCTATCATCTTAAACCCCAGGTTTAGTGCCCACTGAGCCAAGTGTTATGGTTCTTCTCTATTTCCCATCAGCTCCACCTTGCAGCTACCCGCAAACCATGTGGAAGGTGTCCCTGCCCATGGCAGGGGGTTGGAACTGGATGAGCTTTAAGGTCCCTTCCAACCCAAGCCATTCCATGGTTGTATCACCTGTAATTCTATGAAACACAAGGATTATTCAAAGCCTGGTCCTGGCAGTGTGTGCGTGTTTGCACATGGAGGTGTGTGGAGTGATGCTTAGCAAGCCCCAGCCACAAGAGGAACGACAGGGAGGGAAGAGATCAGCTCTAATCAGAAGGTGCTAATGGCTCTCAAGAGGTGTCTACTGACCCAAGGAATTTGGGGAAAAGGAGGAACACCTGGCAAATAGGGGACCGAGGACCATATGGGTGGTTAATTCCGGAAGGAAAGCTGGGTGCTGTGGTCCCGGCTGACCTTTATGGGGAAGGAGGCAGGTCCAGCAGCACACGAGGGATGCAGAGGTGTTGCATGACCCCCCTTGGAGCAGACCAGGGGGCTGAGCCAGCCTGAATGGAGGGGGGTACCCACTGCTTTAGCAGCATTGCCACCTGCTGGCAACGGGCTTCCCACATGGAAAAACATCAGCGCAGAAAACTGCCTCAAAGGATGCCGCCTCGCCCAAACTGTCCAGTTAGGTCTGCAGGAAAGGCAATATGTTTTATCAGGTGGAAAACCTGATGTATTGCATTCAGTGGACTTTTCGAGGGTAAGTCACCCGTTCACACCTGACATTATCCCAGTTAAATCAGCAGAGGGACTGTCACAGAGGGGCTGAGGCTGGAGATCCCCCAGTCCAACCCCTGCTCAAGCACGGTCACCTAGAGCAGACTGCCCAGGGCTGTGTCCGCTTGGGTTCGAATGTCTCTGAGGATGGAGATGTTACAGCCTCCTTGGACAACCTGTTCCAGTCCTTCACCATTCCCACAGTGATTTCCTCCCCCATGTTTAAATGCAATTCCCCATATTTCAGTTTGTGTCTCTTAAACACCAGTGAGATGAGTCTGGCTCCCTTTTCCCTGCACCCTCCATCAAGTATTTACAGGCATAGCTTATATCCCAGATCCCTCTCTCCGTGAGGATGAACATCCCCATCTCTCAGCATCTCCCCTTACAGCAGCATCCTGCCTCCATCCGTGCTTAAATAAGATGCTCAGCTCCTCTTTGCTCTTGAGGGGTGCAAGGCGACACGGGGAGAAGAGTTTTGCATTGGCCAAGGTCTCCCCTTGTGTTTAGAAAGGGCTCTGTCGCCCATGGGTGCCCCGAGCTAACCGGTGGGTCCTTGTGTTTCAGCCCGACGGCACTAAGCGGCACTCTCTGCTTTCAGCTCGGCATCGCTGGATCTTCACAGCGCTGCTCAGCCTCACACACAGGCTGGCGCCTGCAAACCTGCTGCAAACAGGGGCTGTCCATGCCTGGGATGAACCGCTGAGCATGGGACCAGAGAGCAGAAACCACCTTTGAGGTGCTTGTCCGCACATCGCACAAGTTCACCCCAGGGAAACGCTGCGCTCGGCTCCTCCGCTTGAGTTTCACTAGGGGCTGGTTTGCTGCGGACCGCAGCAGCACACATCAGCTGCATCCTGATGGCTGGAAGCAGGGAAATAAATCCCTTTAACGATCCACTGAATAAACCCCTGTCTAAACAAGCATCCCTTGCAGGGTCTGTGCGGTCCCGGGAGGCTGAATCAGGGATGCACACAGCTCCCTCCCATCCTAACCCCCTCGCCAGCCTCCTGGGATGCCAGCTCAGCTGCAAAGCGGGGGCAATATCCTTCCGGGGCAGTCCAGGATGGCTTAATGAGGGCAAAGGTGCTGGGTAACCTCGCAGCTCCTTGGTTACAGCAGGAGCTGAAGGCTTTCTGCTTGCTCCTGCCCACTGCAGCAAAGCTCCTGCATCCTCCTCTACGGGAAGTACATCTCCTTCCCTGCGGCTGCACCCATGGGGACCAACAGCCCAGGAGGACTCCGCTTCATCACCCCTGCGTGAGCGAGAAGAAGCCATTTTCCACCCCAGGAGCAGGAATTAGGGCTCATACAGGGCTCATATTCCCACCACAGGCTTTAAAGGCAGCTGAGATAAGAGGCAGGGATCGGAAATTGCTCTTGCTTTTTAAGTCTTTGTGCTGCAGCAAGTAATAAAGGTTGCTTCAATCAATTGTCCTCATCCGAGCTGTGCTGCAGCTTGTTCCCCCCTCCCGAAGCTGTAATCCCCTGGTACTTACACAGTCTCACACTGTCTCCTGCTGTTGGTCACGATTTCGGGTGAGAAAAGACATAATACCCCACTGAGGGATGCAGATCCGGCTCTCAGAAGCATCTTTAGATGAGGAAAAGAATAAAACCAAAAAGGGATTAAAAATGGATGAGCAAAACCTTGGAATAAAGAAGATACGAAGCAGAAGGGTCTCTAGAGGGGACTCTTGAAAGCAATTCAAGAGAGAGAATTTGTCCCTTTTCTGTACAGCCTGCACTTGCCTTGTCATCTGCGGGATGCTGAGAGCCCCTGGGTGTTATCTCGGCTGGGGATGATCAGTGCTAACATGCCATTGATGCTCCCCGTGCAAACCTGGGGAAATGATGACTCCCTGGCTTTACTGCTGGCTCTGGGAGAATAAAACCTGGTTTGGTGCTTCAGAGGGCCCCAGCACCCCAAGGTCCATAGAATCATGGAATACCGGGGCTTTGTAGAGCAGGGACCAAAACTGAACACAACATCCCAGGCCTGACAAGTACAGAGCAGAGCTGGATGGTGACATCTTTATCTCTGATGGTGATGCTCTTGTTGATGCAACCCAGCATCCTGTTGGCTTTCTTGGCCGCAGCAGGATCACATCCACTCCAGTTGAGCTTGTGGTCCAAGGCTTGACATCCCCATCTGATGCTGAAGAGAAGGGGGCTCCCCAGGCTGGCTCCTGATCTCTCTTTCAGGACATCATCTGAGGACCCTCTGTGGGGACAGCAGCACTGGCATCTCCCTCTCCCATGTCCAGGACAGACCATGGTCCCTTCCCATTTATACCACCTCTGCAGCTGATGCTGGACCCAGGGCTGGTTTTGGGGTGACAAAGCCTCGATCTAAGGCAGCAGTGAGGACTCCAGAAGAGCTCCACACTTGCTGCCACCATAGGACACCAGACACCCTCCAAAACCCCCATAATCTTTCCAAAGAAACCCCTCTTGTAAAGCCCCACTGCTGCACTCCTCTTCCCCCAACTCCCTTTTGCTGGGAAGGAGGAAGAGGAGTTAATTTAAAGGCGAACACCCAGAATAGGGACAGCAAACATTGCCAAGAGATGCTCGCTGGCATTTGTGTTTGGGAAGGGAAGATGCAGAGGGAAAGATCAAAGCTGTCTGAATAGCTTTTAATTACGAGCCTCAATTGCTCTGTTTTCTCTCGGAGAAGTACACAATTATCCAACAAAGCTCTCAGAGTGGAAAGAGACACAAGCCCGAAGCTTCAAGGGCTGTTTAGAGGCTATTTTCCCTTCCTAAACCATAATATTTGATGTCTAGATAAAAACCAGGCACTCCCACAAGTGCCTCCAGCCAAGGCTGCTGCTCACTGCATAGATGGAGAGGCTGGAAAGCTCCTCCTAAGAGGAGATGAGCAACCCGGGATGCACTGAAGGCGGAGGATGGCTCTAAAGCACCCACCTCAATGTCCCCTGGCTGGCAGGGATGTGGGCTCTGGCACATCCACCAGCATCCCACTTGGGAAGGGGGAATTCCCAGCGAGGGGAAAGCAAACCATAGTATGGGAATAAGACCTTCAGTTGTCCCCATTGTCTGTTTTCCTGAGATGGAATTTCCCCAGGACTCGTGCAGGTCTCCATCACCTCCTTTTCTCCTGCACATAGAGCAGAATAAGACACCTTGAGGGTTCCTAAGGTCCAAAGCATCCACTGCACAAAGCCCAACAGGCAGCTGACTATGGAAAGTAGAGGAACGAGGACTCGGTTTCATGAACTTACCCCTCAAATGAGATCAGAGGCTGGTAATTAATAGAGTCAGATTTCAGCGCAGTGGGAAACCTCCCTTGAGACTCAGCCCGCTGCTGCTCGGTATTGATGGAATGCTGTGGATGTAATTACACTTCTCTTAGCCATGCAATGGAGACAGAGGGCTCCTCCGTGCCATGGGTCGCTCCTGGCTGAGCTCCTTCACCCATGCTGACCAGGAGCCAGGGATAGGGAAGGTCAGAGCCAGCGCATCCTACACCATCCCCATGGCATCACCAACACACACTCCTTGGGAGACAAGAGGCAGTTTTCCAGCTGAGCACATTGAAACTGAACCCCAGTGCCGATGCCAAAGCAAACTGGAGGGAGATCAGCCCTGGCCCGCTTTCCATACCCATCTCCAAGGCATCACAGAGGGAAGGGAGCAAGGATAAACACCAGCACCGGCGGCTGGGCTCATTGTCTGCTGTTTTACACTTGATCTCTGGAGGCAAGTGGTTACGTCCAGGAATGTTCTCTGTGGTTAAGCAAAGCAGGAGCAGTGCGAGGCTGAGATGAGGGGAAGTCCAAGACGTGTGAACTAACGACCTATGCACATGAAGAAGCTGCTGCTAATGCCTA